AATTTTCAATAATTCTTCGCTTGATCCCTTGAGATGTCGATTATTTTAAACACAATTCTTACGCCCGTGATTTTACTCGCGTTAATTCTACGTTTGTGTTGATTCTTTTTCACCACTATCGATTAACCGAGTTGTTAAAACTTGCCTTAATTAGCGTAGGAAACTAATTAAGGGACAGTTAAGAACGCGTCTTCTTATTATGAATGACCGATTAATACTGCCCTGAACGAACTGTGATGTCAATTTTTATACCAGAAACTATATTTCTGTTGGAGGGAAAATCTGCAACTTTGACATTCCTCAGGGATCGTTGTCCCGTGTTGAAATAATTTATTATTTCTATATTTCGAAGGAGTACCCCTTTGGATCGCTTTTGCTGACTTTGCTTTCTTTTGAATTAAGCAAGTCCATAGTATATTAATCCATGATTGCCAAAGACAAACGAAATTATTTGCAATAATTGTTGCTTCATTATTTGGCAATCATTATTAATCTTTGCATATTTGTGTCCTTAGGGTTAACAACCTTGCAGCAATAAATTATTGAACTTATTCTGATTTTAAGGAGGAATGTCATTACAGAGTATTTTGGTTGGTGTAACAATTGACATACGAGCTCATTCCAGAAAATGATTTAGTTGATTTGTTTGCATATTTCTTATAATAGGGATTCTCTCCTTTTTTAAAATTTAATTATAATTAATGGATTATTGATTCGTTACAAACCACCATGGAATATTACAATTGTCGTCCCGATAATTTCCCATATTAAAGAAATACAAAATTGAAAATCGAAATCTCAAGTTCTTCTTTTAAGAAATATATATATATATATATATTTTAAAAGAACTGTAGTTATAGTTATTAATCGAATTTGTTAATCTTAAACGTTAAGATATAAATTATTTAAAAAGTTTTGCAAAACTTATTTTATAGATATAACCTGATTCTTACGTAATTATACTTGATATTAATTTCCTAGATTGTAAATATATTTATTATTCGTAACGAAAGTTAAGTTATTAAGGTAAAAGTCTTTGAATTGGAATTTTGGGGTAAGGACTTGTGGGCAAAATCTTGATACACGAGGTTGGATCTTCCGGGAAGTTGTTTGAAGAATCTGCGTCAGGAGTAGAGTTTTCAGGAACAATATCTTCAGGTGGACTTTCAATTTTTGTTAGTTTATTGTCGCCAGTATCGGTATTGCTTGTTCTAGATGCTGGAACAGGACCCTCGATTGGAGTTATGCCAATGTTTTCATGACTGGCATCAGCAAAACTTAACCTTCGTCGAGAGAACAGGGATTTCGACTTCTTTATCTTCGTTGTAGTTAAGATGGGGGTGTTAGAATGTTTCTGAATAATTATTTTTCTAGTTTTCCAAGATATACAAATTTTAAATACTATCCACCCGATAATGGCAATTAGGACAATAGTTCCCATTCCTAAATAAGTTCCTTTAATCCAGTTATGATGGTATCCTTTTTCCGTTTGTTGTAAGGAAAACTTGTATAATTGTTGTTCTAACTCGTCTAAACTTTGTGAATTCTTTAAGAATTCTTTATCTTTAGGAAACACTATTTCGAAGCTTTCTTGAGCCAATTTCATTTCTGCAATCCTAGGGGAGAGATAATTTAAATTCAATTCGAATTCTGATTCGTATATTACTTCAGTTATTCCTTGAATCCTTGGTAATGCTGGAATCATGATATTTGAAGAGCTAGCAAGCAGCCTGGAGCTAACTGTAGTAGTCCTATTCCTTCGATAAGAACATTGGTACTGGGTTGTGAAGAGCAGTGAATATTAAGGATAGTTGAATTTCTTGTGGAATACAACCATCCTCCAATGGTGTTTAGCTTGATCCAGTGATTTTCTTCCTGGTACTCCAATAGAATGTGACATGATTGTAGTGTTTCCATTGTTGGATTTAATAGAAGTTTTATTTCGCACGGTAGTCTCCCGCGGATTTCATGAATGGCTATTCCATTTTGGCACAATAGATATTCTGTAGTTTTTTTACATGGTTCCAATTCTTTTTCATTAATCAGCATATAAGTTCGCATGGGCTCATCAACGGCGATGTGGGAGTATTTTGATTGAATGGATACCTTAGCAGATTTATTTCCAAGGATATCCTGAAAGACTGGAAACGAGTGCAATTGGTAAATCATGTAGTCCATCTTGTCCAGCAGAGGAATGTCCACCAAAACCTTAAGGTGCCCTTCTTCTAGTAGTATTGTAGTTCTTGATAGTTGAATAATTTCTTCTATGCTGTACTCTGGTCCTCTAGTGGGAATGGAAAGAGAAGGTCGGTGATCTTGGATATCTCGAAGAACAAGAGTAAGTTGCGCACTGGAAATGAGTGATGGGTGTAAGTGTCATTTTCTAGCCGCACGTATGACTTCTAGCATCCTGGCTCCTACCTTACTGTTGTGAATTAATTGGGTTTTTATTCTACCAAGAAGATGATTTAAGTCTTCATAAAATTTTTGATGAGCAGCTCCCTGGTGAGATTTCTTTATAAGATTCGTTAAATTATTCAGACGCTGTCCAAATTTATTGATTGTTATTTTTTGATTTTCAGCTCTCTTGTATAAAGAGTCTAAAAGAGCTCTAACTACGTGAGTCTGCTTCCCCACCAGATGGGAAAGATTAGCTTGAGCTGCATTCAATTCTTCTATTTGCGATTGTATTTGTTGTCCACCTTCGTAATTTAGTACGCCGACGACAGGTCCCATTATTTTTCCAATAATACCTATTAATGGAATACTCCTCCTAGTCCTCATTTGTCCTTGAAGTATTATTGGAGATATACTTTTTATCTTCTTTAATTCTGCTAATTCCGTTGAAATTTCATCTTGAATATCGGTGGCTGTATCCCAGGTATCTTCCCAGTTGTATTCTTTGATATAAGAGGAGCAGTCTGGTAGTTGATTTGGGCAAATTTTATGGAGGTCTGATGCTTTTTCTCGTAGATTAAGAAGCCATTTTTCTTGCTGTTCAATGTTTAGAAAAACAGCCAGTCTCCAATTGGAAGTAGATAATTTCATTAAGCCTCCATATTCGTAGTATATCCCACTACTTTTGTTGAACCGTTTTAAGACTAACAATAAGTGGGTAAAACTTTGTCCTTATGCTTCATCACCCTTTCACCAAACTCGTTTTCTAACACTACATTATTGTTTTCGGTAAAAGCAACAATTGTGAATGGACCGTCAGCTCTTTTATCAAATTTGTTAGACCGTATTTCTTTTTGTACATATACTATGTGTCCTATTTTGGCTTTTAGAGGTCGAGCCTTGGAATCATAGAAATCTTTAGACTTTAATTTAGAAGCAATGATATTTTTAGAAGCAATGTTTTGTGTTTCGTTCAGTCTGGTGATCAGGTCACGAAGATAAGAGCCGTAAGTGGCTAATTCGGGTCCTTGAGGGAAGGCACTTGGCATCCTAGCCAACTTTCCGTACACGAGTTCATGAGGAGTAAAATTGGTTGCCTCATGAACTGATGTATTATATGCGAGCATGCAAAAGGGAAGTAGTCGATCCCAATCATCAAAATCGTTTGAATAACATTTAATATAGTCGGTTAGAACAATGTGACTTCTCTCTAGTGATCCGTTGGTTTGAGGCCTATAGCCTGAGGTGGTAATTTGTTTTATATGAAACAATTTTTCTAATTTTCGTAATAGAGAACTGATAAAATTCGCGCCTCTATCTGTTAAAATGCATTTAGGGGCTCCAAATTTTGAAATTAAGTCAGTTACTACTGTGTGAGCGATGGTTGTACTTTTAATATCAGGTATGGCTACAGCAATGCAGTACTTGCTAAAATTATCCTGCATTGTTAGGATATACCGGTTTCCATTGGGAGTCGTTCTTAATTTTCCAACAATATCTAGGGATACTTTTTCGAATGGTTCCGCTGGAGTGTCGGTTATAATCATTGGTTCACGAGTTTTAGCCCTAACCAGTTTGTTTTCCCGACAAGTTTTACATTCTCTGACGAAATTCGTAACGTCATTACGTAAACCTGGCCACACGAATCGTTCTCTTATTCGTTTATAGGTTTTACTGATGCCTTTATGGCCTCCGATGTAACTCGAGTGAAATTCTTGAAGGATCCCGGACCTCATTTCGGGAGGGGGAACTTCTATGCTTCCGTGACAAAGAGTGATGGTAACATCGCCACCACGGAACATACTTGTTAAAAGTTCTCTCATATAATTCGGAGGAAGTGAACCTAATAGGTCGCCGGAATTGGCTATTCTACAGGTTGATTTCCCGTCTCTAGCAAGAGCTTTTTGAAGGCCCTTTAATCTAGTCTGTACGTCATTCCAGTTGATAGCATCATAGTGTTTATCTTTGACAACTATGGAATAGGTATTGAATCGTCCTTGGGGTGTGACTAAAACCTGACCTAACTGGGGATTCATTTCTTTAAGGTCTTTAATATCAACTCGTTCAGTCGCTATTAAAAGTTTAACTACAGGATCGACTGGCTCACAATCTCTTGATATAAAGTGAGCATAATTATCTCGTTTCAACGTTATAGGTTCATTCCACTCATTTTGGATCTTACAGGAGTTTGGTGGAGCAAGATCATCATACGGACTAAGCGTGTGATCTAATAGTGTATTATAACCTAATCGATAGTGAGGTTCATTAATTCTGGTCACTAAACGTCGCGGCTTCACATCTAGCTTACGGTAAGGCTGATTTAGTTGTGAAGTCGTGACTATAGATTGTTGTTCAGTTGTTGGGGTTAAGATGTGAGTGTTAGGAGTGGATTGAGCATATGGATGAGTGTTAGCCGATGGGGTTTGGAAGGTTACGTGCTTCCTAGTTCTATCAGAAGGATTTTGTTTTAGAAATACAGGTAATTCAGATATTTCATTTAGCTTTGATCCATCAGGTTCCTCATCTTCGCTCTCGATCAACGGTTCTTTTTCTTTTTCAGTGTATGCAATACCAGCATTAGTTATAGGTTGTTGTTTGTGAGTTTATCCCAAGAATTCATTAATTCGTGATGAGAATAGTTTATCATCATAATCTCCACAGGGGTCTTGTTCTTCCAAGTCTTTCAGTAATTCTTCATTTGATTTTCCTTCAGAAACGCAATTTCTTCTGTTGACAATTGATTCATCCATACCTTCATGGTCCCAAGCTAAGGATCGAGTAGTAAGGTCAATTGGGTTGATTCCTTTCCTTCCCAATGATTCGTTGAATTTCTTTATGGATTTCTCAAGATCAATTCTAATATCAGATTTCTTTTGTATAGCAGAGACATCTTCTTCTGAATCAGATTCGCTGGAGTTGTAAACTGGAGGGAGATCTACGATAGTTGGTCTATTGCTATCAGCGGGTACTTCGGACTCGTCAACTGAATAAGCAGTTCCAGCATTTTCAATTGCTTGAGTGGCTAATTGGTCAGCCATTTCGTTCCCAAAAATTCCTTGATGGCTTGGCACATGTTTAAATGTTACATCAAGAGAATTCATTGCTTTTTCTAATTGTTCGAATTCTGCTCGATTTTGGACTGCTTTATTAGTCGTAGTCTTCCAGTCATTGGATTTCCATCTAGGTAACCATTTGGTCATACTATCAATCAAAAACTGAGAATTAGTGATCACCTTTAAACGTTGATACCCTGCTTCCTTAGCTTTCCTGACAGCAACTATGGCAGCCTCAATTTCTGCAGCGTTATTTGTCTGTTTTCCTGTAGCGCGTTGAGATACATTTAGTGGATGGTTTTCTCCGAACCATACCCCAATTCCAGCAGTTGATCCTACGTTTCCATTTCTCTGACAGGCTCCATCAATGTATACTTCAGTGCATGGATTGGCTTGTGAGTTACGGCGTGGAGTAGGGGGCCCCAAAGCCGGTATAGTACTCTTCTGAGAACGGAATACAGGAGGGTCGGATTGTTCTGTGTCGTCATTAGATGAGGAATCTTCTGACGAAGATTGATCTCCTTCTGTTGGATCGACTTGAGAAGTAATTCGCTTCCTATTCTTTAGTCTAGAAGCTATGGTACTTTCTTCTAATTCAGTAGACTGTTGAATAGGTTTTTCTTCTTCTCGTGCTGAGGTGGGTTGTTTCTTAGGCCTTCCAGGTTTTCTTTTTTCAGCGCTGGTGGAAGGTAAGGATACTTTTACCTTTTTTGGTATAGTTTATTTTCCGGATTCCGATTTTATTCGTCGCGGAGGTAAGGTGGAAGGTCTCTTTAAAATAGACACCGGTTTAGAAACCTCGCCGGCATTCATTCGAGCAGTAGACCTTAATCTGGGTTGTTCCTTTGTAGGTATTGTATTTATAGGAAACGCCTTTAAAGTATTTACGGAATTAGAAGGGATTTTGTTTGTTAGCACTTCAGAGGAGTCACTTTCATCCGATTCGGTGACTGTTGTTGAGTCAGAATCACTAGAGTTCCTATATGGTGGATTTCACCGTCCGACAAAATTTAACTTTTTTTTTCACACACAAAAAAATCAAACATTTTCGGAAACTAGGACCAAAAAAAAAATACCCGTGTTTGGCCGTTTTGCTGGATCAAGTCGTTTGTGGCTTTTAGGGGTGAAAACAACCCTTAAATGAAAAGTGACAAGTTATATTATAAAAATAGATTCAATTTGCCTAAAACTCGTTACTCAGGGGTTTTTGAGGTGGCAGATCACGAATCCGATGTCGGTTTTTTAAAATTAAAAATGGCGGATCCAATATGGCGGCTGTCAAAATAAAAAATTGATCGGATTCGCTTGAAACTTGTTACTCGGGGGTTTTTGGGGTCGCTGATTACGAATCCGATGTCGGTTTTTTTAAATTTTAAATGGCGGATCCAATATGGCGGCTGTCAAAATAAAAAATTGATCGGATTCGCTTGAAACTTGTTACTCGGGGGTTTTTGGGGTCGCTAATCACGAATCCGATGTCAGTTTTTCAAAATTCAGAATGTCGGATCCAATATGGCTGTCAACATTTTTAAAAATAGATTTAATTTCCCTGAAACTTGTTATTCAGGGGATTTTTGGGATCGCTGATTAAGAATCTTAAGTCAGATTTTCAAAATTAAAAATGTAGGATCAAAATGTAGATTACAGATCTAGAATGAAACTGGAAAATTTAATTGTGTGATTCTTTTTTGTTTTTTGCAATTAAATATTCTTAATTGATTTTAAACGATTTTTAAACAAATGTCAATAGTTGATATTTTCACTTTAGAAGCATTGTTAAACAATCACTTTATATTTAATAATTCATCTTACTTACGCTTCCTATTATCGAATAAATTTACTTACCACAAAGTTTGCTTTGTCATTAAAAAAATGTCCAATATGCAAAGTCACATTTGTAAAAATATTGAAATTTTTTGTAATCTTCATCTTTATAAGATCCGCCATTTTGGATTTTTAAAATCTGACTTAAGATACGTAATCAACGACCCCAAAACCCCCTGAGTAACGAGTTTCAGGGAAATTGAATCTATTTTTCAAAAAGTTGTCAGTCATATTGGATCCGCCACTTTGAATTTCAAAAATCTAATATCATATTCGTAATCAGCGACCCCAAAAACCCCCAAGCAACGAGTTTCAGGCAAATTAAATCATTTTTAAAAAAAGATGTCCGCCATATTGGATCCGCCATTTTGAATTTTGAAAAACTGACATGAGATTCGTAATCAGCGACCCCAAAAACCCCCAGGCAACGAGTTTCAGGCAAATTAAATCATTTTTTAAAAAATATGTCCGCCATATTGGATCCGCCATTTTGAATTTTGAAAAACTGACATCGGATTCGTGATCAGCGACCCCAAAAACCTCCGAGTAACAAGTTTCAAGCGAATCCGATCAATTTTTTATTTTGACAGCCGCCATATTGGATCCGCCATTTTTAATTTTAAAAAACCGACATCGGATTCGTGATCTGCGACCCCAAAAACCCCCGAGTAACGAGTTTTAGGCAAATTGAATCTATTTTTAAATTATTACTTGTCACTTTTCATTTAAGGGTTGTTTTCACCCCTCGAAGCCACAAACGACTTGATCCAGCAAAACGGCCAGACACGGGTATTTTTTTTTTGGTCCTAGTTTCCAAAAATGTTTGATTTTTTTGTGTGTGAAAAATCGTGTCGGACGGTGTTTTCGGACAAAGCTTGAATCCTAGAATTTGATTTACCCTTTTTGTATTCAAATTTGTAGTTGTAATCCCGCAATCTTAGTCTCCACCTGGTAAGGCGTGCTCCTGGGTTTATTATAGAGGACATCCAATGTACTGGCTCGAAATCGCAAGCCAGTGTGAATTCTCGACCGTATAAATATGGTCGAAAGTTCTCTACCGCATATAACACCGCAAGGCACTCTTTTTCTGTTTCTTCATAGCGTCGTTCATTTTCGTTGAAGACTTTAGAGTAGAACGCTATGGGATGTTCCGTTCCGTCTTTTTCTTGAGTCAGTATGGCTCCTATAGCAAATTCCGATGCGTCCGTAGTTAATTTAAACGGTCTCGTAAAATCGGGGAATTGTAAAATAGGTTCACGGCAAAGGTATTCCCGTAATTTCTTGAAGCTAGCTTTTTGTCGTGGACCCCATTCCCATTTGCAATCCTTTTTTAGTAGGTCGACTAGTGGTTTCGATTTTTTTGCATAATCTTTAATAAATTTTCGATAATATCCGGTAAGCCCTAGAAATTGTCTAACATTCTTGGGTTCACTGGGTTTTGGAAAGTTTTTTATTGACTCTACTTTTGAAGGATTTGCCGGACACCTTCTTTACTAATAATGTGACCTAAGTACGCGGTTTCTTTGTTCATAAAGTCGCATTTATCAGGCTGAAGTTTAAGGTTGGCTTCTCTTAATTTATTGAATAATCTCCTTGCTCTTCGGTCATGTTCAGGCAACGTGTCCGAAAAGATGATTATATCGTCTAGATATGGGCAAATCTAAAAAACATGCTCACTTCGACATAAAAAGGGAAAATTTTTTAATTTGTGAGCACTCATGCATTGTTTATATTATTTTACTCATAATTATTCAATAAATAAGAAAATTTTAATGTAATTAATATTCATAAATTTCTTCAAAAGTTAGACGGAAAACAAACTTTCGGGTATTCTATATCACAGTTACAAACGACCTGACTTGTGAAATATTAAACAAGAAATAAACAAAATTCAAATTATACTATTTTTTATTAATATTATAAATTAAATTAATTATCATTTATAAAAATTAAATTTAACATTTTCTGCTCAGTTATTCCATATAAGTAACAAAAAATAATCGATTCTCTCATTCTATCCCGTTTGAGGATTTTTAAATCTAGCGAAATTATTAATAAATACATGGCAACAGTAAATACTAACCAAGAAAAAAAAGTATTTTTAAATATAATAAAAATATAAAGGATAATATTAAATTACATGAAGGCATTACGGTTTCTTTACTTTTGACGTTAATGAATAGGTTACAATTGACAATTAGTATGAACTTCGTCAATTACAAAAAAACATAAATGTTAGTTAATTTTAAAATCATAGCTTTGCACCAACTTCAAAATACATACATGAAAAACGACAAGATGCAATAAATCACGATTTTTATACATTCCTAATAAAAACTTTTTGAAGCATTTTACAGGTATATGTAAAAATGAGAAATCTATCAGTTACAAAAGAAATTATGTAGTTTTGAATTATTTTGTAAGTGTGCCTTCAAATAAGGTGTCATTTAAATAAATATTACACTCCACCTTTCAGAATATTTTATCATTAAAGGTCAATTTATTTTAAAGGCACACGTTTTGTTAACATCCCAAATTGTTAACAATCGTTTGTCAAATACAATGTGTACTTAGAAATTTTTAAAAATTAAATGCTTCAAAAATTACATGCAAAAAAACTAAAATAATTTATTGTGGTCGAAATTAGAGTCACCCCTTATTATTATTTATTTACAAACCATTCGGTTCAATACATTCTAAAAATATAAAAACTACAATATAAGAACAAAAAAATAAAACATTCTACAAACACAGAATAATAAGACGCTAGGGGTCGCTATTTAACATTTTTTCTAACATTCTTACAAATTTTTTCAATGAGCTTATATCCTGGGTATTTATAATCCTCATCCAAAATACAATTTCTGAGTCACAGTCTTGAATCTCCGGAAAAAATTGTTTTTTCACTTCCTCATGAGCCCCACACTCAACTAAGAAATGATATAGACTGCCCCGATCCAAGCACCAACAGGTATCAACCCACGATTTAACCCTAATATTTTTATTGATGGAAATTAAAATTCTTTGTCTATGTATGTTAGCAAGCCTGAATTGAGCAAATACTCTTTTAAAATATAGTTCCAGGCGTCCCACCAAATAAATCTGAGGCCCCAATTTCATTTCTAGATCTTGCCACATAATTAAACTTTTAGATTTGTATCTGTCCTCCAGATCTTGATTTAGGCAAAATCTCTCGAATTTAGATAATAAGTTATTGGAAATTCTACTTATTTCTTCTAACTCTGATGACTCCCAACATCTCGTCATGTCACAATCTTTAAAAAAATGTTTTATTTGCATATACCAATTAAATCCAGAGTCGGTTCTCCCCCCCCTAGCAAGCTCCATCAGTCTCACCAAACACAGTCTTGGGAACCTAGTATTTTCCATATTATTTATTTTTTTAATCCAAGACAGAGTCTGCGAGAGTACGGCACCGGCCAGGTGAGATCTCCCCGACTCTAAGCGTACTGCATAGTTTGGAGAATTTATTGGGAGCCATAAGAGCTTCTTAAAAAACGACAGCTGAACTTTCTCGATTTGCCCTAAGCAATTTTGTCCCCAAACCTGTATCGCGTAAAACAGAATACTTTTAACCAACGACTCAAAAAGCCTATTGTACGTAGACCAAGTGTCGGCTTTAAGACTACCGATTACTTTCATTGTTGTACCTATCGCCGCATTGGTCGAGGCAGCCACCACCCTCATATTCTCAGAAAAGGCACACGAGTCTGAGAAAATCACACCTAGATATTCGTAATCCTTAACAACTTCAATTTTTTCATTGCCGTAGTTAAATGTCTTGTAATGATTTACCTCCCCCTTCTTATCTCCGCGAAAGATTACAACTTTTGTTTTACCTATATTTACAGTTAATTGATTCAGTCGACAAT